AAAGAATGCTACATACATTGTTACTGAGAACATACTTGGTTATTAAACAAAGTAGTCTGAGAAGAAACAAAAAATTCAGAATGGATTAATTTGAAGTACTGTGTCCTTTTTTCACACAAATACAGAAAAGAGGGGAGGAAAGATGCTTATTTTTCACATGAAGTTTAACCATTCTCAGTGTATTTGCTATTTAAAAATTTACTTTCTCCTTTGAGAAAAAATACTACATTACAATGGATTATTAGTTTCTTTGGGCTTACTTCAGAATAACAAAGTTTCCTAACACTGTGAGAACATACAGCTTACAATCATGACATAAAGTCTTCATCTCGAACATGTAAAATTACACAAAATACAGATTTAGAAAGACTCTAAGAGATAAGATTGTAAATTAATAAAATTATAGTAAAATTAAAGTTCGAACCCCATTAAAGCCAGTATAAAACTTTGAGAAACAAGTAGCAGATTATAGTATATTTAATTAGCTGCTACAATGTGAGAGAAATTATGAAATCTTTTTTGGCAAAGCCATTAGAATGACTGACTAGTAACCTGATAGAATTCTACATGTTTTAAAAGCAAAATTGCCATTTAATCAATTACAACACATGGAGTACAGATACACTTGGGTCTGCACAGACACATCATGCCCCCACATCCATACTTTTGCACTACTTCACAATTTAGTACTTGAGAATGATGATTAAAGCCAAGAAAAAAGCTTCATTTTACCTACTTAGTAGTTTTAGATGCCCACAATAGTTTTCCATTGCCAAAGTAATTTCTCGACGGATACTGAGCCCATGATCTGAACAATCTTTCTGTTAAGCAATAATATTACTCTCCAGTTTATACACAAGCACAGATAGAACTAAAACATGCAACAAATAAATTAAAGGACATGTACATTTAAACAAGAAGCTAGTTTATTCAGATGTTAATTGTTGATTTGTTTTTTGCATTTTCCATGCATCCCAAAGTTTTTGTACGCATTTCAAAAAGTAGTGGACAAAGGAGAAAATAACTCCTTACAGTATTTGCTTTAAAAAAACCCAACTCTAGTAGTTCTTTTTGTTCACAGAACCCATTTAGAGGGTAAATCATTTTCCAGATAAGAAAAAAAAATCACAAGTTTAAAGGGCCATTAAACTTACAGGAGCTGCAGGGAAGCTGGATGAAAGCTCATATGGTTCCTCCGAGATCCAATGGCCCAATTCCAAAGACCACAGAACCTAAAATAAATTGAACGGTAAGTAGAACTCTTAGAATTTCTAAAATAGCAAACCCTTTGAATGTGTAATCAAACCTGGCGTATCAAACACTTCTCACAGTTTTGTATCATCTGCAAACTTGCTGAGGATGCACACTTCCCCATCATCCAGATCATAAATGAAGATGGCAAACAATATTGGATGAGTGTCAACCCTTACTACTGACTGGGATTATGCAACTATTATATATAATCCACATTACATACATAAATCAGCCAGCAAAGAAAAGCTCAATTTCATTCTCTTCTGTATCCTCCTCTGGCAATGTCACATCTGAGAACACAAAAAAGGCTGCTAGCAATGCAGAGTACTGTCTGACTGGAAAATACATGATCAGTTTGTGTTCAGCTGAGCTCTGAAATGCTGAATCGAGATGATACCTGGAGATCAGAAGTTCTTTGGGATACTTTCAGACTTCTGTTCCCATCAGGCCATCACAAAATGGTTAATAGAAATAAAACAACTACTCGAAATGGTTATATTTTCAATTTCTGTAACATGCTATTTTTAATTTTTTTTTTGGTGTGT